CACAAGCACACACTCACACCAGGGTCAATATTCCCCAAGCCAACTAACCTACAGTACCAGCATGTGTTTGGACTGTGGGAGAAAACTGGAGCACCTGGAGGAAACCCACACAAACTTGGGGAGAACATGCAACCTCCCCACAGATAGTATCCCCGGGCCACTGTACCAGCTCAGAAACAACAGGGGAACAGAATGGAAACAATAGGAAAGAGCATTTAAAATGGGAGTACAGGAGGCATTTTCTTACACATAGGGTTGCAGGAGTGTGAAAACCCCACTCAGCCATTTAGTTAAATTTGATGCCCTGGCTTCTTTCAAGAAAGAGCTGGCCTGCTTGAATACTTGGAAGCAGGGATTTAAAAAACAACAACAAGGGAACCCAGTCAACTTCAGAATCAACACTTAAACAAGTGCTGTAAATAAAACCTGAATACTTCATCAAATGACTTCTACATCATCTTTTAGAAAAGGCACATATAACTATGTCTTGCAGAAAATGACTTCATTGGTTACTTAATATACTGTACTTCTTTTAACTAAACCAGGACTCTAAATGTAGCCAGCACGAGACTCATGGAATGATGAAGGTCATGCTTCCAAAAAAAAAAGATCTGCACATCTACAGTATAACAATGACACACACTGTATATGGACTCAAGAATCCAGGTCACTGTATCCCTGTCTGTCAGGATATCTTTCATGAAGTCAGCAGACCCTTGTAACAGTCTGACCAGAAACATCACAGACAGTAGGGAACATCAGCAGCCAGTGTTTTACACTGCACAATACATAAGTGCACAGGAGGCACTTTGAAACAGAGTGGTCCTCATGTCAGCACAAATAAAGCCTATAGAAATGTTATTAAGTATCTCATTCTTATGTTATAACAATCATAACTGACTGCTCAACACTTTTCACCACTCCTGAGACATTACTGTTCTATTAATGATTTGACAAATGCTCAAAGACGCTGCACAATGATCTACAGTACTGTACATCACTGTGGTGAAAAATGTGTTTTAATTCTTTGTTGAAAGACACTGGAATTGTTAATAAAAGTTTAGGTTGTATTGATGAAGAAATATGGAAATTGAAATGCTTTCCAGTTGTCTTGGGAAAGAGAATGCTAAAAAAAACTGTGTGTTATATCACCCAGCTAAATAGGGTTAAGGTAAAAGAATAATATTCCCCTAGCACTGTGGGTAGGGTGATGTTGATTTTGTGGCCATATCTGTATTCCGAACACACAGGAACGCTCATATAAGACTTATACAATTTCACAATTTAGTTCTCCACATCGAAAAAGGTCAATTAAAGAACTGCTGCCACTTAGTTTTAAAGCCAGTATTGTAATAAACATTAGCATTTCTCAAAGATTCAGCTCAAGGATGTATCACAAAGCAGTAAATGTTTGAAAAAAAACCTTAGCCAAATTTTAAATGCACAAAACTGTTGTCTGCTCATAACAGGACCTAACAGGTTTATGCTGAGGCTCATCTTCATTGCCATGTAAGGAGAGTTTTGGCCTACCAGGAAGAACTTGGCATTGTAAGTTTTAAAAAGTTACTCACTCAAGTAAACCATCTTAGTCCAAATGTCTCGGAGACTAACTTGCCCAAGAGCAGGCACGAAAGCAAAGCAAATGTTTAAAAGTGCAAGACCCCAGTGTAATGCTCTCCCTCAGAGATGATGAGCAATTCTGGGAATTTGTCTGTCTGGTTTTGGAGATGAACTGCAAACCCTTTGCAGAATGTCTCATTCCCTTTCAATGAATTGGGTTCTATCACCTTGAGAGTAGAAACTCACTAGAAACCTTTTTAAAAATACTAAAAGGAGAATTTTAAGTGTTTTGAGGGAGTGTGAAATGGAGAAATAGTAAACCATTGTGTTTAACTGCTGAGGTAACCATGTGAGAGAATTAAATTTAATGCAATACAAGCAGTGGTGAAACTGGGCATTTCCTTTAGAATGGAGTCAGAAAGGATTAGATTTGCACAGGTCAACATAACAAAACTGCGACACTAGAATTCTTTATTCCTTGTGGATTGTTCTGTACCAAAAGACCAAGAGACACTTATACCGTATATTCTGAGCCACACAACGGAAAACTGGAACTACAGTATCTAACCCAGTAGAAAGGAGACTTCCAACATTTGATCATCACGTCTGAAACTGTAAGAGGCGAGAAGTATTTTTAGTTGAAAAGCGAAAGTCGAGCTGTAAACATACTGGCGAGCTTTTGCATTGCATGACCTCAGTGAAACAGTATGTCTTCTGAGAGGGAAGAATTTAGATCACATCCCAGCTTCACAATGCTGGAACATTAAGACTTCATAAAGTAGGGTTCATGCACTGGGCTTCCAACACAAAGAAAATCAAATAGGAGTAAAAAAGACTGCAGAAGATTTCCCGATAGGAAACTAGGAACAGTATAGCTTCTCTGTACACCTTATTCTTTCTGCACTGCACAACAAGCACAATTATAACTTACAAAACTGTACAGTACAGTAAGTCTCCCCTCCCTTGTGCCTAAAAACAGCTTTGTGAGTCAACTAGTACCAGAGGTACCCAGTCCAAAGGCTGTAAGGGCTGGTATCTTTGCAAGTTTCAATCTCAGTTTACTAACCAAAATCTCTCCACTGGACTAATTTAATCATTTAACTCAGCTCTTCAGGAGATGATGCTTTTAACAGACCTAAAACCCTTGCATTTACAGTATTGGACAACATTGGCCTGGGCGGAAAAAAACCTTTCATTTTCAAACCCAGGTGAAAGAACGTTTTTCACCCAGCTCCTGTGTAAATTATTTTTGTTTCAGTAAATACAGAGCTCCTTCTCCCCGAACCCACGAATTCCCACATACCTTAAGGGCAATGCACATTCCAGACACCGCTATCAAACTGTGAGATTAACTATACAGCTCTGCACAAGTGGAATTAATTTGGTCTGTCACTCTGTCTGCGGCATCCTTCCTGCTGAGGGTAAATGAATTTGCTCGAACAGCTCTTTTAATTAGCAAAATGAACTCTCAACGAGCTGCCGGAGTGTATGTATAGGTGTGTGAATGAAAGCAACAATGTGTGTATGAGTGGGTGGAGAAGGAGTTCACATTTGTAGAAAGATAAACTGGTTATAAAAATATTTTCCACTGTGTTCCAAACCATACCAAGGGAAACAAGTGCTAATGTGTTATTCTGTGTTCAAACTTTTTGCATATAATGTTTTAACCGCCGTTGTTAACAGCTCAAAATCAATTTTCTTCATCGTAATCAAATAGTACAATGGACAAAGCCGATAGAAAACACCAGTGTGGCCACGACGGACAAAACGCCCAATCACGATAAATCAGAAGAAATAACGACTAGTTTTCAGTTTCAACGATAATCCTAGAAACAAAAGGCAGCAGATTACGCTGATCCGGGCAGACAAACCCTTGTGCTGCGGGCTCCACGTCCACCCTGTGATCTGCTCTGTGCCTTTCAAGCCCGGTCAATCCTGCCAGTCTACAGAGCTCCCGTTTGCTTGGCCTTCACGGCAGCTAGAAACTTTCAGCACATTGCAGTCTTAAACCGCCGCCAACTTTTAAAAGGGCTATAACATACTGTATGAAACACAGAAAGTCCAATTACCGTACACCCCCCCCAGTTCTTTAAAACAGACAGTAAGTATGATATTTTCTCAGTTACGCTAAAGAGCCTTTGGACCTTGTAAAACTTCCAAAGAGGGCTAGTCTCATTCATATTCTGCCAGATACTAACATGACCTAAGAACGTGTTTGTCGCTTGACTGCGAGGCGGTTCTCAAGTTTTTTTGTATTATAATCAAGTTTTCATTTTCTGAGCAACAGCTACAGTATGTGGCTTCAGCAATGTCTACAAACCTGTACCTGTTCACTGGGTGCGATGCTACAGTACATGCAAGTATCTGCCGAAGATTAGAACCAACAAAAAAGTTGGCAACCGTTCTAATATTTATTGGGACATTTCTGAGTAGGCGATTATTTTTTTCCGCGACTCAACGAGTTTTCCAACTCGACTTCATCGGAAACTTTAAGTACCCGTGAGTGACAGAAGAGTTCAGGAGAATCGCCCCAAGAGCAACTACACTAACTTACAATCAAGAACCTCCATCTAGCCCGCAAGCAACAAGTGCAAAGACACGCAGAAGGAGCGAAACGTTCAGGAAAAAACCGATATAAACATATTTTATTGACTTGTTTAAAAGCTCACGAAGCGATAGCTGCAGTCTTTGAACGAAGGACGTGTGGCCAGACACAGTTAAGATCTACGGAAGTGTTGTGGTTACGAAAGTAACAAAATAACGTTGCACTGACAGCACGTATTTATGAATGTAACTCTCTGGACCAGGGCTCTGTAACGGCGGTCCCCAATGACTGCATTCCAATTAATATTTTAACTTAAGTAACTGAACCGGTTCACTTAAATAAATTCAATCAAAAGTATTTAAGAAAATTAAAAAAAAACTCAGGCTGGACGGTAGCCCCCTGCGCCTCACATTAAGCCCTGCTTGTTTTACCTCAGTAGAAATGGTACGGTCAGTAATTTGCCAGCAAGGTGCTGCTACCCATCTTTGTCCATAAAAAAGAAACAGGGCAAATCGTAAGGCATGCAGACGCCAGAGAGACCAACTATGAATAGCCTGTTTCTACGGATAAAATTAGCCCAGCTCAGCTTCTCTTACGCGACACGTCGCTCAAACTAAAATATCTGCACACAGTCCCAAACCCACGAGAGAAAAAAAAAGCCAGGAACAGGATTTTTTCCCTCACCAAATCACCCACCATAGCAAGTCTGATTAGACCCAAGATATTTCATTATTCACCATCCTCCCCGAGCGCCCGCAACGTTTTCAAAAGTTGCCGAAAGATGTTAACCGTACTTTGCGCAGTGCTAGAAGGCGCACATTTCTCTCATAGGCACGATGTCAGCCCCCTCTATAGTGTGCGTGTAAACGGTCAATATAGAACAGCGTTTACTTACATATATCAGTTGTGAGGTTAAGACGAAGGTGACGATAAGTCCAGAGACCCCGCATACAGTTCTACTTGTCCCCATTTTCTGTAACCCAGCTGGTTTATTCACACGCTGGGGGAAAGGGAGAAAATCAAAGTCCTTCTCTTTCTGGTGACTCAATACTTCTTTCTTGGTACTTTGATTCACGCTTTATATGCAAGGCCACCGGCTTCTTTGTCCCACGCCCCGCAGGGACTTCATGAACCGGATAAAAGTCGGCCCGCAGTCTCGCTACCAACTCTTTTACGAACGTCTCTTCCTCCTTCCCACTCCGCGATCCTCCACACTCCAAAACTTTCTCCCGAGCACTGCTAGCCAGCGCAACTGAGACTCCAAATCCATCTGGAAACTGCTTTCCCTGCCTAAAGTAAAAGACGGGGTGGACTTCGGGATTGTCAAATGTGGGAGCATAGGTTCTTACAAAGCTTCTCCTTACAAATCTGTAAGAAGACATTAACCTTAGAGAAGTCGGAATGAAAGTCCTTGTTATTGCAATGAAAAAAAAAGTTTTATTTCAATTTTTGTCAATGGTTGGGTGTTTTTGGATTGTTCTCGTCGGTTTTCTGCTGTAGCGTCGGGTGATTTCAATATCCTTCCCTGCAGAAATGTATAAAATGTATTTCTATAACTGTTTTTTAGATCAAAGAGAATATGATCTGTAGAATTCCTGTTGTAAAGATCCCAGAAACTCCAGTGAAGTCCTATAGAACTTATATATAATCCTACATACACATTCTACATATACAGTACACTGTAGAATCAAGAGCTATAAAAATATTCAATAAAATGCCTGCATGCCTATACTGTACATACAGTACAGTACAGTATGGATTCAGTGTGATCCATTCCCCTTAATGAATCTAGATAAAAGATTAAAACAATCAATTATATTTATCATCGGTGTAGACAAGATAACTGATTGTAATGTTAATTTTGGGAAGAGGTAATATACATTGATTAAAATAAGCCCAAAACAAAGGCCCAGAGAACACCAGATAAAACCTTTTATCTAATTTCCTACCACACAACAAGGTTTTGTCTAATAGACATTATATCTATTTGTCAGATGCTGTGAACTGCTGAAGTGTAGTATCTGGTACACCTGTATATTTTCCCAAGTCCCTGCAACATTGTCCATCACAGTTACTGTCCAAAAGAAGTGGAATAGTTAATAAGCCTGCGTCCATAGCAATTGAAAGATCATTGACCACTTTGACACAGGGTTGGTTCTCTACTGTTTTACAATACATCCAGACTAAGGAAGTCCTTAAAAACATCACATTGCATATGATTCTGAAGCTGTGAAGCAACAACACAGCTCAGAATTCTTGAAAATAATGTAAAATAACCCCATTGTTATGAAGCAAGTCAGGGTCTTTTCTTTTAGCTAATGTGTAACAGTATCCATCTACTCATCTATATTCTAATCCACTTACCCAGTAAAGTGTTGCAGGGGAACTGGAGCCCAACCAGGCAAGACACAAGCCTGGACAGGACACCAGTCCATCACAGGGCAGACACACACACTCTCACATCAGGGCCAACTTTCCCAGAAGCCAATTAACCTACCAGCACCTTTAGAATGTGCAAGGAAGACCATGCAAACATGGGGAGAACATACAAACTCCACACAGACAGCACCCCAGGTCTGAGCTTGAACCCAGGGCCGCAGCACTGCAAGGCAATGATGTTAACCACTGTGTCCCTGTGCCCCCCCCGCGTGGACCAACACCAAGAGTGAAAAGTTGCTAAACCAGATTAAGGAGTGATTAATGACAAATGGACGAAGAACAGAAAAGCTAGATGTCAGTAAAAAAAGAGGGATTTGGTCCCATGGGACATGTTGTGCAGTTCATTTTTAAAATAAACACAGCCACTCTGCAAGGGCCAAACATGAAATCTCTCAGAGCAGTACCCTCGAGAACAGGAGCATCAATCTCTCGGGCAGCAGTACAAGAGAAATATCCACTCTGATGCCTTGCAGATTTCAAGGATTTACTGTAGAAGACAGTGGATTTCAGCAGAACAGGACTATATTAGCTCTAACAGTTTAGATCATGTCTCCGTAAAAATGGCTAAAAGCAGTCTTGTAATATTGCAAATGTTTTCTATGTTTGCAAGTAAGAGTGAAAACACATTCTTAATCCTAAGAGTTCACATTTTCAAGAGCTGGTGGAGAAAACTAAACAGTAGTTTGAAGATGAGCTATTTTCTCCAAGATAAATGGGTATTATTATATCATTTCCCTGCTACGTGCTTGCCTTTGGTAGTAGTTTGCAGCCAGACAGTTGTTTTGCACGTCGTACACTATTTAAAAAAAAACTGAAATATAACTGTTGTTTGCCACAGCACAAGACTCTCCCAGACTCTCCCTCTCCAGGTGTAGAGCTTTCTTTCTGCACGGCTTCAATGGAGTCTGGCCAAGACCTTGTTCCATTTCTTATATGAAAGAGTCACATTGTTCTCAAAATATATTCCATTTTCAATCCCATTAGCACAGCTCCGCCTTAGCAGCGAAACAGCTTCTTGCTTGAAAACACATTTAGTATTTCTGTGTTGCAGCAGTGCAAGACAAGTAGCAATCATAAAATCACACATACAGTACTGTACCTACTGTACGGTATCACAAGACTCCTCACCAACACTATTGATAATCATTTGTGTAAAGGGAAATTATACATGTAGATTGCCTGAGTTTAATATGAAAGAAAATCAGACTGAACTCCCCTTTGTTCCATTACTTCTGTTTTCAAAAAGGTAGATTAACTTTCCACAGTAATCAATCCACAGGTTAACACGTTACTTTCTATATACAGTAATATATTGCTGTTAACATCTTTAGCTACTCAAGGACGGTTGCCTGGCACGCCTGGGAGAACAGTGCCCCCTAGTGGTCTTAATTAGGAATTTAACAGTGGATCAGTTTTGATTTTATCTAGTCTTTTTTGTAGAGGATACCATCTCAGAGATGTTTTTACATCATGTTACTTACATGTAACATACATACATATTACATACATGTTACATTATTTTGTGAAAGTATGGTAGAAGAGTATACAGCACCACACAAACGAATACTTACAGACAGGAAGAGGAGCGTTCAATATTGAGTGTTTCAGCACAGTGCATGTGGACCCTAAAGCAGATTCCCTAATACTACTGTACAACAGTGCTCCTCCTATCTAGTCATGGAGATCCTGGGTCTACTGTTGTTACTCACTGTGGTGCTCAAAATGATTTATTCGGGCCAATAGCTGACATTCATCCATTTTCCAACCACATCTCCCAAATCAGGGTAGCAGAGGATCTAGAGCCTATTCCAGCAAAAAAAACGGTACAAGACAGGGTACACCCTGGACGGAACACCAGTCCATCACAGATCACACACGTTCACACCAGGGCCAGCACTCCCAGAAGCCAATTAACCGACCAGTATGTTTTTGGAGTGTGGGAGAAAAAGAGCAACCAGAGAAAACCCATGAGAACATACATACTCCACACAGATAGTACCCCAGGGTCTGGAATTCAACCCAGGATCTAGAACAACAAGGCAGCAAAGCCCACCACTGTGCCACCAGCTGGTACAACTAGACTAAATCAACAACTCATCTCTTTGATTAACCAGCGAATATCTCCTTTACAAAGGTAATCTGACCAAGAGCACCCAATCACTGCAGATGAGGAAGCAAAACAGATTTGCTTTTATTTAAACAAAACATAGATGAAAGAGATAAATTCATATAGAAAGCAGATTGAAGAAAAGAACGTTTCCATCAACAATGGTAGCAAAGCTGCCCAATATATTGGTTTTCTGTACCTATTAATGGATTGTTGAAAATATTATTTATTTTAATAAAAGGAACACAGTCTCATCAAGAAAAGTTTTTAAAGTTAGTGCACTGTGCAGAAAACTACCTAGGCATTTATAAAAGGCGACTTGCTCTTTTTCACAGTTGTTAAACTGTAGCTTCTCAAGCAATACAGATGTTAAATGCTTGTTTTTTTTTTCTTGTTAAATGATATCAGGTTGTTCTGTTATATACAACTTCATATATTTCAGTAGCAGATCATGTATGTCATGTGCTACAGAGGACAAAGCATCATTGCACAACATAATACTGCATATTTAAGTCTGTTGCAATTTAAAAAATATATATATATTTAAATAGGATACGCTTAAAGCATTTTATAACTTTGATAATTCCTCAACCCAAATTGAAGAAGATATTGTTTTCACAATTGAAGAAGATATTGTTTTCACAAGTGGCACACATGCTATTAAATTTAATTCCATGATAGCTAGAGGGGGTTTGGATTGGCTGTCGCATGCCTTTGAGTTTTTGGAAATTGCCAGACTACAAGAGCAGACAAAATGCAACGACAGGGATTATCTTCAAATTCAGAGCATTTTAGAAATCTAGCCCTGTTGATTTAACCCCTGAAAAGAGAGAAAAAAAGATTAAAATAATCTTTTAAAGCTCCTTTAGAGGTCAGAAGCACATTCCTGGCTGGGGCTATCCCAGACAAACGCAGTGATGTTTTCTGAGGTGAAAAGTCCCCCAGCCTTGTTCAAAGACACTATCTGCCCTTGGGTCTGAAAAGCCGAAGAGCTCAGGGACAACCTGAAGTTAGTCACCATTTCTCTGTTGGAATAGAGGAGTTTTAGAAATCTTCTGAACAATCCCACTTTATACATAATCAGAATCTTGTATCATTTTCTATTTTATTCTAACCCACCCTGTGATGGACTGAAGTCCTTGAGCCCATTTCCTGACAGGACAGACTCCAGCTCCCCCATAACCCTGAACTGAAAGGAGCAGTTAGAAAATAGAGGGATGAATACCAAGCCATTTCGACACCTGCCACTGGTTATCTGCTTGGCTTGAAGGAAAGTTAACACCAAATGAGAAAGCAGTGAATTCTATGTTATCGTTATTTTTATAGCATCTTTCATGACACAGCAGTCCAAGGGAGTCAATCAAAGTTTATTTATCAAATGCACAACAATACAGCATGCAGCAGTAGTTGCTGGCAATGGCATATGCTGGCAATGAAATGCAATATATTAAGTAGTGCAGTATGCCAAATACAATGAAAACTTTATCTCCATGTAGCCATTACAGGTGATTTGCTGAAGGAGCTGCAGGTTGGCTGTGTAGCAGTCTTATTGCCTGGAGGCAGAAGCTGTTCCGTTATCTGTTGGACTTTGACAGAAAGCTTCGATACTGTTTACCAGACGATAGGAGAGCAAATAGTTTGTGACTGGGATGACTGTTGGTCTTTGAGAATGGACCTGGGCTTCTTAAGACATCTAGCTGAGAAGA